CAGTGTTTCTCCTTTCCCTGTGACATTCTTCTTGGCGGTATCCTATAAAAGTGCAAAGTATAGGTATTAGTTCACATGGTGTAAACAGATGCAACTGAGGCAACAAATAACCGACATAGTGCACAAATCTCCCAAACTTGCTTCAAAGTGCATGTATAGATTTTTGGTGTGTAGAATGCATAATTTATGTCTCAACTTAGGGTTCATATCACAAAAATGTGAATCACCAACGAAACTTCACTCAAAACATGCACTTTGTTCAATTTGACACATGACTGACTAAAATAGGACTTCAACCTCATGACTCGTGCTCAGTGCATTGAGACTCGTGTGGACCATGCCTAGACTCCATGTGATATGGATGTATGATTGATGACCTAAAACTATTGATAATGATAAAAAAATGAAAAGTTCCTAAACTATTGCAAAATGAAGTAAATGAAAGGATGGAAACGTTGGGTTGCCTCCCAACATGTGCTATTTTATAGTCGATAGCTCAACTTTTAGCATAGGTGTGTTATGGCACTTTAAATATAGCTTGGGAGGTAGTTTGTTCAATATGGCCTTGTTCCACATTGCAGTTGTCCTCCACACTTCAAACCTGTCCTTTTTCAAGTGGTGTGACTCTCTTTCATCATCCTTTTGAGACTACACGATGTATACCTCAATCTCCTTTGAGTCAGTGAGAGTGGATTGAGGGTGCATAATATCGGCCTCCTGAATGTCTGGCGATTTCTTCAACTTGTAATTGTAGGGGATTCCTATGTCAATCACATCAATCTGAAAACAGGTGTCTGGCTCGGTGGGATATTTCATTGCTTTGAAAACATTAAAAGAGGCTTGCTCCTTCCCCAGTCTCAAAGTTAATTGTCCTGGTTGCACATCTATGAGAGCTCTTGCAGTTGCCAAAAATGGTCGCCCCAATATGATAGGCACGTCCTTGTCTTCTTCCATGTCTAGAATTAAGAAGTCCACTGGGAATATGAGTTTATCCACTTTGACCAATACATCTTCAATAATTCCTCGTGGATGTGTAAGTGATCGATCTGCCAGCTGTAGAGTTACTGTGGTTGCCTTAGGCTCTTCCAATCCTAGTTTTCTGAAAATAGAGAGTGGTATCAAGTTAATACTCGCACCTAGATCACACAATACTTTATTCAAATAAAAATCACCAATTGTGCAAGGGACAGTGAAACTCCCTAGATCTTTCAATTTTGGTGGAAGCTTTTTCTGAATTCTTGCGCTGCACTCTTCGGTTAGCATTACTGTTTCATGATCATCCAGCTTGCGTTTATTTGATAATATGTCTTTTAGAAATTTTGCATAGCTGGGCATTTGTAATAGTGCATCGGCTAGTGGGATGTTGATATGAAGCTTTTTGAAGACTTCTAGAAATTTCTTGTACTGCTGCTCCATTTTATGCTTATTCAACCGCTGTGGAAAGGGAATTGGAGGCTCGTATGGGTTGACTGTAACCTTGGCCTTATCCTGTGATTTTTCTGAATTTTCCCCTGGAGTTGATTCCTTTACAGCAGTCTCATCTTCAGCAAGGGAGGATGTCTCTACAGTCACACCTGTTTTCTTGACATGGCTTTCCGGTAATTGCACTCCACTTCGAGTTATAATAGCCTTAGCTTGCTCTTTGGGATTGATTTCAGTGTTGCTGGGTAGATTTCTTGGTGCTCTACCCGTCATAGAGATTGCCATCTGTCCCATTTGTGTCTCCAAATTCTTGATCGCTGCACTTTGGTCTTGAAGAGTTGCTTCTGTCCTTCGCATAAACTGGTTGTTGGCTTCCATATACTGATTGGTTGTTACCATGAACTTCTCAAACATCTCTTCCAATGGTGGCTTTTGTGTACTCTGTTTGTTCCATTCCCTGTGACCAAATTTGGCATTCAGCCGTTTTATGATTTGCTCCACATTCTTCACAATTTAGTTTTCGTGCATTTGTTGCATTTGCTGACTGTGATATGATTTCCACCTTGTGAAATAGGGAGTCAATCTTCGCTGATAAGGCTGAATATGCATCTACCTCATAAACTCTCGGTGTCCTCTTCTGAACCGCCCGTTTTGATGTCCACATAGCAGATATAGAAGCCATAGTCTCAAATAACTTGTGTGCCTCATCAATGGATTTAATAGTTAGTGACCCGTTAGATTAAAAGTCAACCGTGCTTTTGAAATCTGGAAGTAGTCCTGCATAGAAGTACTGGGCCTAGAGTCCCTTGCTGATCCCGTGATGTGGACATTTCCTCAGCATATTTTAAATCTATTCTAGGCTTCATCAAAAGACTCAGATTTGCCTTGACGGAAGATGGATATGTCATGCTTGAGCTTTGCAATATTGGTAAGCCGGAAGAAATTGGTACCGAATTTAAATGCTAAATCATTCCATGCAGTAATGATGGTGATCGGTTGGGAGTCGAGCTGTTCAATTGCCTTATCTGCAGTGTATATGGAAACAACCTCAATTTGATTGCATCGTCTGAGATACCTTGATACCTGAAGTGTTGGCACATCTCCAAGAATCAAGAGACGTGTGTATGTGGGTTCTCCTCAGCTCTACCATAAAACAAATGCTCATTCTGAAACAGTTGTATCATGTTAGTTTTCAGCTGGAAGTTGGGCTATCCAAACGGAGGGTAGACTATGCTGGATTGACTTTTGATTATTTGAGGGGTCAGGAAATCTCCTATGAGCATATTTCCCTCGTCCGCTGTCCCTTCTTCATTGGCTTGAAAAATTGGATTGTTCTACATTAGCCATTGGTTCCTATTATTGTTGATCTGCCTCTCTATTCTCTCGCTGCAATCGATGAAAGTTCTGCTCAATTTCTAGATCTGCTGGAATTAATTCTCCTCCTGTCAATCTTAACATGCAACTCTACAACCAAATCAGTAGTAGCATTCAGATTCAAACAAATTGAATAACTAAACACAATAAAATAAAATAAACTAAAAAATATCAAAATTAAAAAAATTAAAAATTAAAGTTTGAATTAGTGCTTAGAAAAAATAAAACCAAACTAATGCTCAATACTGTCTACGGCACCAAAAATTTGTTCACGAAAATATATTTCGATTTAAATCTCTGCAAGTGTACGGTTCATAATAAGTAATAAAGTGGAATTTCGAGTTCCAAATGTCATTTTACAGAGATTGGGTAGCCTAATTTTATTTATCTTGACCTTAACCGAAACTAGAACATCAAAAGTGATTTTTTTTAGCTTAACTAAACCCTAATCTAAACTAGGTTTGCAAATGTTTATGACTTGAATGAATTAAGATGCAAATTGACGCTTAGATGAACTAAAGATGCAAATTGAATGTTTGGAATACAAATTAATGAATTCAATGAATGTATAACGCAATAGGATTACGAATCCCTTAGCAATGCTCAATTTAACCGTAGTTCTTTAATTTTGACAACACGTTGAAATTATGAAGAATCAATACTCCTGAATCTATCCAACAGTCTCTCTCGAGAAAAGTTGAACCTGCTCTCATATACCACCAGTCTATATCTCTATGATGGATGCAAATATACAAGAATGCATGTAATTTTGTGAGCACTTAAAGATTAACGCAGAGCATAGCGGCATATATCTATCTCCTATCGGACTCTACGATGATTTATACCTTGTCAAACCTATTTCCCTTCTCTCGAATGCAAGAAATAAGTCACCAAAACTCACACAATTACAGGCCCTTAATTGCGGAAGAAATGAAATGCATATAAATCGTTCAAAATAATCAAACGTGTTTTAATGTCAAAAATATGAAACAAGGAATTAAGAATTACATTACAAGGTTTATCGATCTCCTAGCACAAGAATTTCTAGCCTAGCATGGAGAAAATTACCAAATATATAATAACTTGAAGAAATAACATCACCAGGTTAAATAATTGCGTGAAATCCCATTAGTATTTGTGTTTTTCTTCGATGTTGTGGCTCCAAATTCTCTCCAATATGTGTTTTTCTTGCCTCCCAATGCATTCTCCCTCGAAATATGATGGTTCTAGATTTTTATATCGCGTTCCAATCGAATTTCAAAAGAGTTATATCGAAAATAGGAAACTGTAGGATTAGTCCCATATTTTGGACTATAAGACAGCATAGTACAAAGCTATGCGACCGTGTAGTTATGCCAAAATGCCCTCTTGGAGTCTCTGAATACTACTATGCGACCGCATAGTTCAAGCATTTTTTTTGCCAGATAGCTTTCAACATTTTGATCATAACTTTCTATCTCAATCTCTGATTTAAGTGATTCAAAGTGTGTTGAGAATCTAACTCAAGGATCTACAATTTTGATAGAAATAGGTTTTCTCAAATTCTGATGTTTACTATGCCCAAAATAGGTCTCAAGTAGAGACTAAAAATTTTGAGCATAGCTTTTTCACCTGAAAGTTGATATGTGATAATACTTCGACCATATTTCACCGCTTTGACTCCTTTTCTCCTCCAATTGACCTCTAACACTCTTGAATCTTCATTTCATCACTCGTCTCATCTATAGATTAAATGCAACTTTGTCCCTGAAGTTACATTTTCTTTCATTTTTGCCATTTTTCGCATCTTTTCTCTTGAGTTTCATCATATCCATCAATAGGGTCCTATAACATGAAATTACATAGAATTAAGTCACAATCAACCAATTTTATCAACAATTAGTCATGTTTTGTGGACCGAATAAGTATTTAAAAACACACTTATCAAAAAATAGAAATGTTTTGGTAGGTAACATCCTCATATTTGACTTATTAGCTTATGTATTGATAGATTCTGTCACAACTCATTCCTTATTATTCCTTAAGTCTGTACGTAAACTAGGTATAATGGTTGAATATGCACGTTTTCCTTAGTAGTGTCTATCCTCTCAAAGAATATGTTGAATACTGATCACGTTGTTAAAATAGCAATGATAAAAATTGATGGTAGATCATTGGAAATGGAGTTGTATGTGATAGATATGAACGAATTTGATGTGATTCTTAGGATGGACTAGCTATCCAAGTAATACGCAAAAATTCTTTGCTATGAGAAAAAAGTGGTCTTTCTAAGAGAAGAGGAAATTCATTTATCTATAACAAGGAATAGACCTCTATCCTATGTTATTTCTGTGATGAAAGCACAACAGATCTTATAATCAAAATATAGTATAAGAATACCGATGTCGGTGATAGAAAAGGAAGAAAATAATGAATTGACAGCTAATGATGTTAGAGTGGTAAGTGAAAATCCAAGAGTTTTTCTGGAAGAATTGCATGGCATGCCGCCAGAACGGGATGTAGAGTTCACGGCTCCGCGCCTATATCTAAGGCTTCTTATAGGATGGCATCAAAAGAGTTACAGGAACTAAAAGCATAGATAGAAGAATTGTTAGAAAAAGGATTTATCCGGCCTTATATTTCACCATAGGGAGCGTCGGTGCTATTTGTTAAGAAGAATGATGGCTTAATGAAAATGTGCATTGATTATAGGGAATTGAACGAAATCACCATCAAGAATAAGTATCCTCTCCCCAGGATAAAAGACTTATTTGATCAACTTCAAGGGACAGTGGTATTCTCCAAGATTGACCTGAGATCTATTTACCATCAATTAAGAATCAATGCAGGTGATATCTCGAAGACAGCCTTTTGAAGTCGGTATGGACGTTACGAATTTTTAGTTATGCCATTTGGTTTAACTAACATTCTGGGAGTCTTTATAGGCTTGATAAATCATGTCTTCCATGAGTACCTTGATCGGTTTGGTATTGTATTCATCGATGATATTCTGACATACTCAAAAAGTAAAGAAAAGCATGAAGAACACTTAAAGTAGTATTTGGAGTCCTTTAAGAAGAAACTTTATGCTAAATTCAAGAAATGTGAGTTTTGGTTGGAAAGGGTAGCATTCTTTAGACATGTTTTCAAGCTCGAGGAATAAAGGTTGATCCAAGTAAAGTGGATACAGTGTTAAATTGGTCAAGGCCAACCAATATAAGAGAAATTCACAGCTTGTTGCGCTTGACAGGATACTATAGGAGGTTTATTGAAGGATCTTCCAAGATAGTAGGATCACTAATACAATTAACACGTAAAGGTGCAAGTTTTGATTGGATAGATAAATGTGAGCAAAGGTTTGAGGAACTAAAGCAAAAGCTAGTAAATGCTCCAATATTAACTATACCTAAAGAATCAGAGGGCTTTGTGATTTATAGTGATGCTTCTAAGAAAGGACTCGAATGTTTCTTAATGCAGCACAGTAAAGTGGTCGCTTATACATCAAGATAATTGAAGTCACATGAGCAAAACTACCCTGCGCATGACTTAGAACTTGTTACATTTCTTGCACTAAAAATTTGCTAGCACTATCTTTTATGGAGGTAAGTGTGACATTTATACAGACCACAAAAATATCAAATACATCTTCACTAAGAAGGAGTAGAACATGAGATAGAGAAGATGGCTTGAGTTGATAAAAGATTATGATGGTAACATTCGCTATCACCCAAGGAAGGCAAATGTTGTAACAGACACCTTGAGTCGTAAAGTGACAAGTCAAGTGGCGACTTTGACCATACAAGAGCCATTTGGAAATAGTTCGAGAGATTAAACCACCAAGTGGTCACAACACCGTCAAGTGTTATTGCTCGGACAAAGAAGCGAAATGATTTCACGATGTATAAGGATGAAATCCTGTATTATCAAGGATGCTATGCGTGCCTGACTTCAAGGAATTGAACAACCAAATATTAGAATAGGCTCACTCCACTCCTCATTCCACACATTTAAAAGGTACAAAGATGTACCGAGATCTTAAGAAAACACTTTGGTGGAAAGGCATGAAGAGAAATATAACCGAGTATGTTGAAAGGTATTTAGTATGTCAGCAAGTGAAAGCTTAACATCAACAACCAATGGGTTACTTGAACTGTTAGAAGTTTCAAAGTGGAAATGGAAGCATGTAATGATGGACTTTGTGGTCTATTTTCCAAAATCAACAATGAGTATTGTGGCTATTTAGGTCATTGTAGATTGACTCAACAAATGGTTCATTTCTTGTCGGTTCAGATGATATTTTCTATGGATCAATTGGCACAATTGTATGTG